CGCCGGCGCCGACATGAACGACCGTGGAAAGCGCGGGCGGATGAAGAGACAGCTTTGGAGGTGGCGGCGGCGCATGATAAGGGGCACTCGATGGCTGCGGGTACTCCATCCGGTTGGTTTCCTGCGTCACGTGGCCGGACAACGAGGTCGAAGACAAGATTAGAGGCGGCGGCAGCGGCGCGGGAGGCGGGAACGAAAGTTGGTTCGTGCCAAGGAGAGAGGATCCGACAAAAACAAGGGTGAATCTCGTAAATATGGCGGAAACGAACGAAGTACACAAAATCCCGTAACTTTTTTTCGAAATGGTCAATTATACGGGATCTATCTAGCCGGCAAAATTGCCTTCGTTCGGCGGTTATTACGCCGGATGGCCGGGATGTGCTAGAGATGCTCTAAGGTTATATTTGTAAAAGGAAAACTTAGGCACGGTCGGCATTCTTGCTGGTACACCCCCACAACCTACCTCTCCATTTGCGAAAGAAAAAGGAAACCTACCGCTCTCCGACCGTCCATGGCGCCGCCGGCGGTCCGGTCGTGGGGGGAGCTGCAGCACGACCTCCTTGTGGCGATTATGTCCCGCGTGGGCGCCCCCGATTTACTTTCTGGCGGCGCACCCCGTACCTGCTCTGCGTGGTGGGCCGCCGCTCGCGACCCGCTCGCATGGCGCCGCGTTGATCTCCGGGACTGGACAGCCCGGACCTCCGCCCGGCGCGCGGCTGGGTCCGGTGCCACCAGAGGGCGCATCTCCGTCCAGGCCGCTCTCACCGGCGACCTTGAGGTCGCCGCAACGCGGGCAGATGGTCGGATGGAGGCTGTGCTCCTCCCGGAGTTTGCCGATGAAGGGCACCTCATGTTCCTCGCCGAGAGGTGAAGCTTCTTTGTCCTTGTTCCTGCAATCTTGTTTGCGTGGTCCCTGTGATGTTCATTCCGCTGTAGTCATTTACTGCACAAAATTGGTTAGGTTATCCTACTGCCATACCTTCTTGTATTCGATTAACTAATTAATTTTGTTATTTTCTGTGATAACTCATATGATCGGTTGATCCGTGTAGAACTAAATATAACTATACTGATAAAGTGAAACTTTGCCTGTAAATTTGTACTAATCACATTTTTCTGTACTGCAATTGAGGATTCTAGTAACGTAGCTGTGTAATGCGTGTTTGCGGAAAATGTCTCTTTTAATTCCCAGCATTTTTTATGGGTCAGCACTACTCCATAGGATTTGACATGATCTAATTAGGATTATGATTGTTCAGGTGTAAATCCATAAGGGGCCTCCAAGTTTCTGAATGTTCATTTTATAGAACTTTGGCAACATTACCATCAAATTCATATTAACGTGATGAGTTTCTTGTTTGAATTTTTATTCTTATGGAGTAGCTACTGATATTTCATTTTTAGATTGTTTTGTCAGTTCGAATGGTGTAGTGTCATGTCATTAAACTTGAATGGAGTGAAATTGCTATTAATTTCTGTGATATTTTTTTAGGTTTTCACACATTTTTGTTTAAATTTAACTAATCCTTTTTTAACAAAGATTTTTTTTCAAGTATCCAAGTGAATTTGATACTTTGTAACCTAGTCTGTAGAACCCCGAATGCTCTGGAACACAATCTTATAGACAGCTTTTATTTCAATTGCTATGTTTATGTAGTTATTATGTTGGTATTGTTTTTCTACCTCATATGTGTAGAAGTTGGTTGCGAGATCTTATCGGTTTCACCTCTAGCCTACCCCAACTTGTTTGGGACTAAAGGCTTTGTTGTTGTTGTTGTATATGTGTAGAAGTTACCAGAGGGGACAGTAGTGAAATTGAAGAGGGAGTTTGCAGTTTACATGATTCGAATAATGAAACTTATCATTCCCAGTGGGCTCATAATAAACTTCTACTCCCTCCGTCCCATAATATAGGACGTTTTTTACACTGGTGTAGTGTCAAAAAACGTCTTACATTATGGGACGAAGGGAGTATTTATTTACTGACAATGTTTTGTTGAATCATGATGAAAATGAAGTGCCACTGGCAGTGGTAATAGTGAAATTGAAGAGGGAATTTGCCACCGGGAATATTAGGTTACCATAGGGATAAAAGTGCAATTGAAGAGGGATCTGCAGTTTACATGATTCGAACAATGAAAATAATCGTTCCCAATGGACTCATAATAAACTTATGTTCTTTTTTGTTGACAATGTTTTGGTGAATCATAATGAAATTGAAGTGCTTCTGGCAGTTACAGCTTTCAATTGCCAATTAAGTTCTTGGACTTGTATTTGAAAATTGTGGTCCTTTAACTATCATAAGTCAATAAATCAGTTACATGAAAGATGAGGGATGATGGTTTTACAGATGAGGTATGCCAGTCAATGTGGCACGTGGTGGCTGTAACGCTGAAGCTAGCATGCCATTTTTTTAGATTTGTTATTAGTAGATGTTTTAAGCTGATGTATTTCTTGTTAATTATTCAACATATCTGTTTTTACTCAGTAATATGAGAGCCTTACAACGCATGTTGTGTCTGTTATTATTCGAATGGTTTTACATGACGCTGTCCCCTGTGGGATTCCACTGCTTGCATTTTACTAGATGACGCTGTTGAACTGCAATTGTCTCCTACCCCCTTGCTTGACATGTTTCGTCCATTCTATGTGTTCCATTCTAGCACTCCTTGATAAATTCTTGAAGTACTGAGCTGCATACTTACATCCTTGCTGCACCTCACCAGCTCAGGCTTGCTGTTTACGGTTCGCCTTCTCACCACCTCCTACTTGTTGACTCTGTATCCCTTGCCTTTCCTTATAACCATCCTCACAGCTTGCTTCTTTGTCATTGGAAGTCATCTATACATTTGCATATCATGGTTGATGGTAAACCAACCATCCTAGGCAATCTTCCTATTGTGCACATGCAATGTTAGTTTGGTACATTTTAGAAAATAACTGAAAGTAAGAAAGAGAAGCAGGGGTGTGAATATTGTGTTTCATGAATTAAATTTCCCCGTGAGAACTGAATAATTGATGACTTCTTAAGTTATTACAGTATATCATACAACATGTTAAGGTGACTCCGCTTTGCAAATCACAAAAGAAGCCAGTGTTCTCAGCTTTTAATATGTTAAGTTTATTTTTTTCTTCTTGCAATTTGTTTGGTTCCTATCATTTATTTCATGCCCTGGTATTCTTATAAGTTTGTTTTGTCTTGAACAATATTCTTGAATTAATGGTTGGTCGCATGACATGTACATTCAAGTCACACCTACTGTACACATGTAATCTACTTTTTGGAACAATGAGACATATCATGGTTATGCAGTTCATCTAGATATTAGTCAGAAGTTTTACTTGGTCAGTTGATTATTTGGTTCTTGATGTTTATAAACTGCTTCTGATGTCATCTTTTGACAATCTGGTAAGGATTCATTAATGAATGATATTTGTTAGTGCATTTTTATTTGTGGTTGTGATATTTTCAGTGGAAAAGCCCGCAAACTTGCAAAACTGATTTAACATGATTTTTGTAAACTCAGGTGTATTTGGTTTTGAGAAAAGTCCATATTACAACCTTGCACTACCACCAAAGTCTAATATACAACCCTGAACTATGAAACTGTCTACTTTACAACCTTGAACTTTCAAAACCGGACAAGAAACAACCCTGGACTGGTTTTTTACTGGTCAACAGCCCAGTCAGCATCCAGTCAGCCGCCACGTCAAGGCTGCTGACTGTATGTTGTATTATGGTATATAATTTATATGTGGCAGTACGGCATTTGTTTGACACGGAAATTTTTATGGGCATGCTTATGGTCGTTACGAAATCTGATTGCAGCTAAATGCCTTTCCGGATGTTTTATACAGGAGCCCAAACCTGCACTATTTCAGCTTTCCTACCACATGTGTGACTTCTGATGACTTCTGTGAGGTGATCAGCAAACTTCAGTCACTTAAAGGCATGGCGGTGGATGAGAGTCTTGTTAATTATGAAGTCCTCCTCCATGTGCACCAGTGTTGCCCAGATTTTCTGGAGCTGAAAGTGTTTGCTCTCTATGTGGATGAAGATATGGCCTCCGTAATTTGCAAGTCCCTTCCGCGGCTGAAGAAGCTCGAGATACCAAATTCTGATATGTCCTGTGCTGCAATAGTAAAATTCCTGGATTGCCTAGAGGAGCTTGAGTATCTGGATATATCAGGTTATGAGACCTCGGCCATCTCAAGCAGCGTGCTTCATAAAGCTTCACGGCTCAAGGCCTTTATCTGGAACTCGAAGTTTGAGCTTGGCGAGTTCATGGATTGCTCAAATTGTGGAGAACACAACATTAATCCTCAGGAGCCCTGTAAGTGCACCATGGATAACAAAGTCATGGATTGGCTGGCTGGGCCATCGCAAACTGCCTGACACCGGGCATGCATGTGTAGTCTCTGTTGTTAACTAATTATAATTTCCTGTTTGAAAATTCTAAATAAGTTTGAGTTGGTCGTAGTACAATGTAATGGATGGTACATTCGACTGCATAGTCGATATGACATTTTGTTTGCTTGTCTGCCTGTTTTTTCTATGAACGGTGTCTGAGTCCCCCCTCTTCGGCTTGAAGGGCATGATGGTCAAATCTAAAATTAATCAATCAGTGTATGTACTTTATAATACAGGCTGCAACTGTAGCTGTACTGAGAAACTCAAAGGAGTTTTTTTTATTGCGGCTGGTAATTATAAGATTGATTGGAGTGCAAGCGCTCTAATGGCTGAAGCAACTGCTCATCGATTTGGACTGTCGCTTGCGCAAACAGCTGGTTGCAACAAGATTTTGGTGAATTCTCCTGGCTACCATATCGCATGCCAATTTTGGGCGATAGTTTTGAGCACTGTTTTAGAGAAACAAATCTTGTTGCCCATGAACTCAGCAAAGTTAGCAAAACGTGATGTTTGTAATAGTTTCTCCAATTTTATTAACTCCGTCAATTGATCAGTATATATTCCGTATGTAATTCTTAGCCGGCCTCTTTCAGCGGATTCGAAGGAAAAGAAAAAGGAGGAGCCGGCGGTCATGCTCGCCCTTCAGCGAGTAAAGTATAGCAGAAACTGGAATGCGATGCTCCCACTTGAAAAAAAACAGACAAACAAAAGAGCAGGCACAGCAACAGCTCGCCGATTAAATACTTTATCAACATGAAAAGTTGAAACCTCCGGCGCTTGCTGAGTTGGATTTGACGGAACGCACTTGACGCGCAGCGGTAAGAAGAAGCAGTACCGGGCGATGGAGGAGAGGCCAACGGACATGGCGCCGGTGCACGTGCTGGTGTTCCCCTGGCCGCTGCAGGGCCACATCAACTCCATGCTCCCCTTCGCCGCGGGCCTCCTCGGCGCCGGCGTCCACGTCACCTTCCTGCACACGGAGCACAACCTCCGCCGGGTCGACCGCGCCGCTTCGCCACGCCTCCGCTTCGCGTCCGTGCCGGACGGCCTCCCCGACGACCACCCGCGCTCGGTCGCCCACCTCGGCGAGATCGGCAGGTCCCTGAGGCCGAGCGCCAGCGCCGCCTACCGTGCCCTGCTCGCCCCGCCGCTCTCCGCTAGAAGCCACGCCGACGGCGGGTTCCCGCCGGTGTCGTGCGTCGTGGCCGACGGCTTGCTGCCGTTCGCCATCGACATCGCCGAGGAGCTCGGCGTGCCGGCGCTCGCTTTCCGCACGGAGAGCGCGTGCAGCATCTTGGCTTACCTCTCTGTGCCCAGGCTCGTGGAGCTCGGCGAGGTTCCGATCCCTGTAGGCGCCGACCTCGACGAGCCGGTCCGTGGCGTTCCGGGGATGGAGGGCTTCCTGCGGCGGCGAGATCTTCCAAGTTCTTGCCGCGGCCACGGCGCCGAGGCCGACGAGCTCGACCCCATGCTGCAGGCACTCGCCAAGTACACCGCTCACAGCTGCAAGGCTCGGGCGCTCATATTCAACACGACCGCCTCACTGGAGCGGTCGGCGCTCGCACACATCGCGCCCCACATGCGCGACGTCTCCGCCATAGGCCCTCTCCACGTCATCTCGGCCGCGCCGGCGTCGGCCACCAGCCTGTGGCGCGAGGACGACGGCTGTACGACGTGGCTCGATGGGCACGCGGACCGGTCCGTCGTGTACGTGAGCTTGGGGAGCCTCGCAACCATTTCGCGGGAGGAGTTCGCCGAGTTCCTTCCGGCCTCGTCAGCGCCCACTACGCGTTCATGTGGGCGCTCCGGCCGGACATGGTCGGGGCGAGCCAGAGCGCCGCTCTCCAGGAAGCCGTGGACGCGGCGGGCAAGGGCAAGGTGCGCGTCGTGGACTGGGCGCCGCAGCGAGACGTGCTGCGGCACCGCGCCGTGGGGTGCTTCCTAACGCATGCCGGGTGGAACTCCACGCTGGAGGGCATCGCCGAGGGCGTGCCGCTGGTGTGCTGGCCGTTCTTCGCGGACCAGCAGATCAACAGCCGGTTCACGGCCGCCGTGTGGGGGGCGGGGCTGGACATGAAGGACGTGTGCGAGAGGGCCGTCGTGGAACGGATGGTGAGGGAGGCCATGGAGTCCGGCGAGCTAAGGAGGTCGGCCCAGGCGCTGGCGCAGCAGGTGAGGACGGACATCGCCGAAGGGGGCTCCTCGGCGTCGGAATTCGAGAGGCTCGTAGGCTTTATCAAGGAGCTCACCGCCAACGGTGCAACCGCAAATAGCACTGTGCAGCTTTGATCCGGAAACGGGATTGCTAAATCTTAATTGACCCAGTCGATGCTATATTCATTACATTTTATGTGAAGATTGTATAAGTTTTTCTTCCTTCTTTTTATATATATTCTATCACTTGACTGAGACTTCGTCAAGTCGATCTAACCACACCCTTGCTCCTTGCCGTGTCCACTGGAGGTTCGCTGCAATGAATGGACAAATATTGAACATTATGTGCATAAATTATAGTTCCTTCATTCCTAAATATTTGTTTTTCTAAAGATTTCAATAAGACTACATACGGAGCAAAATGAGTTAACCTACAGTCTAAAATATGTTTATATGTATCCGTATGTAATAGTCCATTTAAAATATCTAAAAAGACAAATATTTAGAAATGGAGAGAGTAGTTGATTGTGAAAATTACACTATTTTTTTTCACAGTCAACAGAGAGGTCCCTACCTGAATTTGATCTCATTCAAAGAAATTCTTGTTTCAGTTTGTAAGGGAAACCAGATAAAAAACATAAACAAGTTGACCTCATTTATAAGAAAAACTGGGCCGAAAACTATATAAGCAATAAGGGTAAAATAAAATGTGAAACCCATACACGCCCTCTGTCCTTCTTTCTCCCACTTCGTCCATGAGCAGTTCTATAAAGTCGACCTCAGTAGCGACCACATATGTCATCCAATTCTTACCCCCCTTCTTTACTCAATCACATATACGATTTGTTCAAATTTGGGCTTTGTGTTTTCTTTGCATACTTGGGATTGTGTTGGACATGCAGAAGGCCATGGGAGGGAGAGATATGGAGCATCTGGAGGCCATGTCTGGTTTCATCTAGCTTTTTTTTTAGAAAAGGATGATCCCCGGCCTCTGCATCTGGGCGATGCATACGGCCACTTTATTAATTATTCTCATAAGACCTTACAAAGTAATACAACAGTAAGACTAAAGCCGTCGTCTAAGCATCTCTATCCAGCTGATGAAGAGGCGCAGATAGCCTGAGCCTAATACCAAACAGACATCGCAGACAAAACTAACATCTAAGACCTGAGATCCTATCCAGGACGCCTGCCGGGTATGGGTCTCACCGGTCCGGCATGCACTTATCTTACTTAAAAAGAATGTATGATTCTGTCATCCCCTTCTCCTTTGTCCAACCTTACATAGTTCATCCTCTCTCTCTACTTTTTTTTTTGCTCACATATGGTTTTTTCAATGAAAACTGCCTCAAGTGCCCCATCTCTTATGTACTTATCAAATAAAATTTTGTTTTCTTTGATAAATCAACAAGTGCTTACCAAACAAGTGTTTATCAAATATTTAATTTTATTGCTTTTACACAATCAAATAATATGGGCAAATAAATCACACGCTAACCTACTAGAATATTTATGCTCGTTACAACACACGAACAAGTATCTAATAATAATGTTAGAAAACATTTTTATATCTTTTAACCATGTGTGATTAAAGACACTATTGACTTCTAAACGGAATTAGTCATGTCCATTCCAAGAACACACACTACGCCATAACAAATTTGAGCATGCATACCAATGTGGTAGAAAAGCTCAGAATATTAATTTGTACTCGCAAGCATGGGTACTTTCTTTACCGGATGATTTAATTGAATCTCTCACTCCAACAATTTTCAGATATATTTTTAGAGTGAAACTAGATATGATTATGGAATATAAATAAAATTTGTTCTTTTAGAATTATTGTATATCCATTTCAATCGAATATTAAGTAACCAAATCCTTCAAATTGTGAGATAATTTTAATAAAATAGGTAACGCAAACATGCTATAATTCACAGCAAATTATGTCAAACACGCACCATTACATTATCATGTCAACCCAATCATGTCGAACTAACCCATAAGAAGCAAAAACCTGACAAACAAAGGTAGCATCAGGTTTTTTTTTTCGGGGAAATGGTAGCATCAAGTTGGCGTATAGTACTCTCGCAAAAAAAAAAGGTTGGCGTATAGTAAAATAAATTGTCAAGCTGATCGTGCTCTAGTGTCCGGCGAAGGCGACGGACATGGGGCTCCTCACGGTGTGCTTGTCCGACACCCACCGGAGCGCCCCCTGCACCACCACTGCATCGCCGCTGGTCCTCGGCCACACGGTCACCTTGAAATCTTTCACCTGGTTCGCCTCAGTGAACCGCAGCGAGCTCGGCATGACGGTGACGTTCATGGAGTTTTCCGGCAGGTCGAACTGTGGGTAGTACACCGCCGGCGCCTCTCCGACGTTCGTCACCTTGCGTGTCACCACCATCGGATTCATCGGGTTCCACGACGAGGGGAACGTGACGGAGATCGACGGGTAGTTCAGAAGGCGGTCCGGGATCACCTCGACGGCCGAGCAGTCCACGGCACGGCGCGCGATCACGGAGACCTCCTTGTCCGTGTACATGCCGCAGAGGAAGCCGATGTAATCTGCCGGGGTGATGTCGTACACCAGGCCGGGGTTCATGGCCTTGTCCGGGTCGACATGGCCGGCACCAAGGGCGAAGAGGTCCGCCGCCGTCCCCTTCTCGTCGGTTATCGGCATGCCGGAGCGGTCCGTGCTGTCGGCCGTTGTCATGATGGCGGACTTGATCGCCGCCGGCGACCAGTCCGGGTATTTGCTCTTGATCAACGCGGCAATGCCGCTGAGGTGCGGCGCTGACATGGACGTCCCGGACTCGAAGTTGAAGGTCGGTCCGGAGTGCTCCCCGGCCAACGAGGGCGGACCTACTTGGAATGGCCACGCCGCGAGCACGCTCACGCCGGGGCCCGTGATGTCGGGCTTCAGAATGCCGGGGTTCTGCAAGCTTGGCCCGCGCGAGGAGAAGGAAGTGATAGCCGGGGCCGGCGACGTGCCGAGGACCGTCCCCCTGAACATGATTTGCGCCATCGGTCTCGCCGTCGACTTGATGTAGTTCATGATCGCGTCTCCGGCGTGGTAGCTGACATGCGACGCTGGGAGGGCGTGCACGTCGGCGATGGTGCTGAAGCCGTCAATGGCCTGGTTGGCCAGAATCATGCCGACGCCTCCGGCTCTTAACACCTCGGCGCCTTTGTCAACCCTACCGACGTCATTGCCGCGCTCACAGACCACTATCTTGCCCTTGACATCGAAGCCGTCCAGCGAGCCGTTGCCGCAAAACTGCGCGTCTGGTGTGGAGCTCGCGCCGGCGTAGACCAGCGGGTAGAAGACGGTCGACGCGGCGTCTGGCTGGTTCACGGACTCGCCGTCGAAGCAGAGACCGTTCCCAAGGCGCACCCTGGTGCGGATCAAACGGTCCATGGTGCTCGCGGCGACGGTGAGCATCCAGGGCGCCTCGTTCGACAGCGTGGTGTAGTTTGGGCCGGAGTTGCCGGCTGACATGCTGACGAAAATCCCCTTCTCTGCGGCGGCGAACGTGCCGACGGCGATGCTGTCCTCGGGGTACGGCAACGACGGCCCGCCGAGGGACATGGAGATGATGTCGCAGCCGTCAGCCACGGCAGCGTCGATGCCGGCGAGTATGTCGGCGCTGGTGCAGTCCTCCAGGCCGCACACCTTGTACATTGCGACGTGCGCGCGGGGCGCTATCCCGGACGCGGTGCCCCTCCCCTGGCCAAGCACCTGGGCGCCTGGCACGACTGCTCCCGCCGCCGTGCTCGACGTGTGCGTGCCGTGCCCATCCTCGTCGATCGGCGACAGCGGTGCACCGGTAGAGGTGGTGCGGTTCCCAGAACTGACGGCAGTGTCGAAAACGCGAGCGCCGATGAGCTTGTTGTTGCACACGGAGCGGCCGTTGAAGTCGCACCTCCCCTTCCACTTGGCCGGCGGCGCCGGCATGCCATCGCCGCTGAAGGACGGGTGGTCGGGAGTGACGCCGCTGTCAAGCACCCCGATGATGACGCCATCGCCGGATCCGGCCGAGTAGTTCCTGCCGCCCTGGCGCGTGTCCAGCCCGAGGAACCGCGGCGTGTGCGTGGTGTGCAGCTTGTAAACCCGGTCGGGCACCGCGGCAACGAACCCAGGCATGGCGGACATCTTGTCGAGCTCCCGCCGCGTCAGCCGGACGGCGAAGCCGCTGGCGACGTGGTGGTAGGCGTGGAGGAGCCGGACGTTCTCGGGGAGGAAGGAGTTGTACCAGGCCTTGCGGTCGTCGGCCGTGCCGAACACGTGGCTCGCCTGGGGCTGCACGTGCACGATGAACGTGCTGCGCTCATCGCCGGCGCCCTCCACCGCGGCGACGAGGGCGAGGAGGAGGGAGAGCGAGGCGATCCTGAAGGCTGCCATGGCTGGTTTGCTGCTCTGCTCTGGTTATCTGGTTATCTGGTACGTGCGCGTGCATGGCAATTTATACATGCCGGTTCCCGTTAGATTATCCTTCCCTTCCGTCGTTGGGGCAGCCTGCAGGCAGTGGCCGGCTTTGTTTATCCGAGGCAGTTTGGAGCTTTGGAGCAGTCCAAGTGTTAGCAGATGCATGCTTGCGCGTGAGGACGACAAGACCGGGTCATGAACATGGATTGGGTCGCTTGGGAATTGCCGTACGCACGGCCGGTGGCAGAAGGCGATCCAGAACTGATGGGAGTTAGCTGTAGGAGCGGCGCGGCAGCCGCCTGTTTCGCTATCGCTATTGCTATTGCTAGATAGATGGCAACAGGAAACATCCACCGTGAGCT